CTTACTGTTTCTTTCTTGAACGGATAGCTCGAGCCGTTCGAACGGCTGATGAATTTTCTCGAACGGATAGCTCTAGCCGTTGAAACGGCTGAAGAATTTTCTCGAACGGATAGCTCTAGCCGTTCAAACGGCTGATGAACTTTCTCGAACGGATAGCTCGAGCCGTTCGAACAGCTGATGAGTTTTGTCGAACGCATAGCTCGAACCGTTCGAACGGATCATGAATTTTTTAGAACGGTTAGCTCGAGGCATTCGAACGGCATGCCAGTCCGTTCGAACGCCTGATTAACGGCTAGTGAACAGCTATCCGTGTAAAAACGGCTAAGCGTTCGGAACGTTTTTGCCTGAGAGGTCACAAGTCTTCTATTGTGCTATCGGTTTCTGTAAAGAGACGGATGAACAGAGAATGAAAACGTTTTTATCTGAACAACATGCAACAAACAGAAACAAGGATTCAAATGATTAAATGGTAAACGAATTCAAACTCACCGTCGTCCATTGTATGCTCGTGGATTTACCACTGGACAAAAAAACTGGAAAATCAGGACTGGGCCACTGGGCCACGGGGCCGTCGCGGGCCGCGGGCCGATGGGCCTTCGGGCCCCCGGGCCGCTGGGCTGTCGCGGGCCGCTGGGCCGCGGGCCTGCTTTTAGCAAAACCCAAACTTTATAGCCTTAAAAGTTTCGGTTGACCTTGAGATCTAATAATATTTCAGCTTTCGAAATGTTTAACTTATGGTCACTTACACAAAAGAAAAATCCCACAGTCAAGAAACCAACAGGTTGATATTTTTCAAAAACATGTCCGTGCAGCTGCATGCGATTATAGATAGATATGATAACATGATTGGAAGTTTCAGTTGAAAATTGCTCTGATGCTATGTTTTGAATACACATTTAGTGACTGAAAAGTAACAAAGGGCACTTGAGGGCCTTAAAATATTGCAAAAAATTTGAGAAAAGCCAGAATTTCAGTTTGATTAAAAATTGTCCATTCCGTTTCTTCGTTTTTTTTCTGGTCAGTTTCTCATCCTTTTTTTCAACTACGGCCCATGTTTACTATGTTAATTTATCTTCTTAGGCGATACTGTAAACTAACCCCCCTCCACCCCACGTACAGGTCCATCTACCTGTAATCAAAAAATACATGTGATTATCATCCCCCTCGAAATAACTCCCCGTCAAACTAGGATTGCAATTAATTTGAAGCTCCCCCATTTATCAACCCTTTTAAAACCTCTTACAAAGATGTATTATAAGCAGCCTAGGAAGTCACAACATTTTAGAGATGTTTGTATGGTAGGGGCAAGTTAGATGAGTCCCCCTTCCACCTGCAAACATGTGGAAAAATAGTTTAGTCTCAAACATGGTAAGAAAATCTGATTTTGAGACACTCTTTTAAGCTGTGTCAAGGGATTTTGGCTAAGTTGTCCTTTGTCAAAAGTTGAAATACAGGCCTGGGTTGTTCAATTTTTGGATAGCACAAACCACTGGATAAATATTAAACTATCAAGCATATAAGGATTAGGGAAACCAATTGCGTTATCCACTGGATAGAGATTTATCCAATGGATAGCACTATCAATCTTTTGAACAACTGGGGCCAGGTGTATAAAACATACTGATGGTCTTATTAAATTTATATGATATTCCAAATTAAGGGGGAGGAGCTGTTCTTGAAATCCAAACATTTTCTTTTTTGGTAGAGGTTTCTAGATGGAATTGGGGTATGGAATTCTATATTTGGTAAACATTTGTTGTATTAGTAAGGCTATGTTCACAATATACTGGATAGCTCTTACGCAGCAATGAAAATCATAAAGGATAGGGCCTCTATTCACACATAAGAACGGTGATTTCAGTGCGATTTCTGTGATAGAGTGAAACTGCGTCAGGTCAATCTCGAAAGTGGAGCTTCACATATCAGATAAACTCTGTGCCTTGCTTCGACACAAGTTATTGTGAACACCTATTCAAACTGTTGCCGAAATGAATAAGAAGGAGCGAGGATCATAAACCACCAAAACAGAAGTAAATATTCAGCAGTGAGGATTGACATTAGTACACCAAACCCTCTTGGCCAACCACTCCCACACAATATTATGTTTGATGTGCTTGAACAACTTGTGCTGGTCTCAGGCCGTACTTGCTGTTTATACCATTATTGGATAGTTTTTCTTGGCATGAAAAGTTACATATTTGGTTAGGGATAGTGTGAACGTACCAGATCAGATCAGGAGGAGCTGGATTATTTTTTTTATCTGTTTCAGTCAATATTGTTGTGCCTATTTTTTTGTGTGGTCTATCGGTGTACAGAGCCTCCTCTTCTGATCTTAACAACTGTGCAGCATTTTTTAGATAGGTGTTATAAACACAGGTACATATAGTCAAGGAATTTGAATAATAGGGAGCTGCTTGAAAGATCAGATTGCCATATTTTTAGAAAGGCATTCAGAGTACAAATTATTGTCCGATAGCCCAGGGCTAGTAGATTTTGCTATTGGGCTTTTGAGGAATTCGAATAACAGAAGAACTGTGAAAGCAATTCTGCATGTCAAAACGCTTTTGGGGCTAGTTGAAATGACGTCTGGACTAGTAAATGCTAGCTTCAGCTTTCCCAAATGGCAAGCTGTAAAAATGATTTTCTTTGCACCCTGCCTTGTGAAGATTTTACCAGAAAGGAATTTCACCAATTATGCACTAAGAAAACCATGCTTTTATCATCCTAAATTAGTGGCAACAGAGTGCTTCAAATCATCCCATGTGAACAGACTTATCTTTAGCTATGATATTGATTCCTTGATGTAAATAGTTGTATTTTTATCTTTTGAATTCAGCAAAGGCATCTACCTATCTACGTATCTATACCAGTTGAATATGTATATGCACGGCTATCTGCAGAGTGCTCAATAGAAGGACTAGAGCATAGTATAATCAAGGTTGTCTGGTGTCAACGTGGCATCTTTATTACCAGATAGTACCGCACGGCATGTACGGCACTCCTCAGATAAAATTGCCAACCTATCTATCTATCTTATTATCTAGCTATCTATCTATACCCTAAGTGCTTTGGAAACTGATGTTATTTCTGTTCACAAAATGAAAAAAAAGGAAAGAAAAAAATATGCCTGAGGGGAGGGGAGGGTCTGGAGCCACCTTTCATCAGAAAAGAGGTGGTTAGTATACTATATAACATATTATAATATCTTGCATAATTTTTTTATCTTTATGTAGGCAGCCAATCTTAACTCAGTATGCTTGTTTTGGACTGAGCTACTTCTATTATGACGTTGTGGTGATGTTCATTGAAGCCTACCTTGAGGAACAGCATAAACATCCCCAAAGAGAGCCACAATACTCAGATGTATGGGCAAAGCTTTACAACAAGAAGAAATTAATCATCATCCATCACATTCTTCTGCCAATATTTGGATTTCCAGCAGTAACTGTAAGACTTTAGACACATTGTAAAAACTTATTAATGAGTATTAACCCATTCATCCCTGAGATTTCCCTGTAATGACTTCACTCTCGGTGAATAACTAGTATTTATTATATGGCTACAATAGTACGCATGCTCTGATTGGCTGTTTTGTTTTAATCACCGGGCATATTTCCTTGTAATGACCAGGCGTTACTAGCTAGGTGTCCAAGGCATATACAATCTGTGTTTAACTTGATATTGGACATCCTATGGACATCCATGATATGGTCAACTGACAGCTGTGTAAAAGGGTATCTGCTGACCAGTGTCACCTGACTGTAATGCAAGTTCAAGTATACAACTCATTAAGGTGACAATTCTTTTTTTAAGTTATCCAGTGACCAGTTGTTGGTTTTAATTTGGTCGCAGGCTCAGGTCCATAATAAAAAGGCCATTATTAACCTCCGCCATTCGGTCATTACAGGGAAATCTCAGACCTCAGCCTTGATGGCCTTGGTCTGAGATTTCCCTGTAACGACCTCACTCTCGGTTAATAATTGCAGGTAGTGTATAATTTCTGATGTTTAGGGTTTCCTACCAACCTCAACCTAGCCAACCACTATAATGCATTCAGTGATAAATATTTTTTATTTCTGTTATACCACAAAATCGTTTATTAGAAGAAAAAACAATTTCCCTAAAATGTTACAGATGTCCTCTTCATTTTGCTCTTTTTCTTTAGATTTGGAGGAAAGCAAAAGGAGACTTTTTCTTAGCTTGTGTATATCTGAATGAGATGAGCACACCATTTTTGTCTCTTAAGGCAATTTTGGAAAAGGTATTATTTTGTTTCATAGTATATTTATATTGGGGCCCTTTCTACAGGGGAAGATAATGTCTTGCATAAGACACAAACACACTCATGAAAAATAAAAAATAATAGTACTTGCCCTTGGGCTAAAGTGTACTAGCCTGAAGTGGTTTTGCAGCTGGCCTACCAGTTTATTCACTTAAAGGAGAAGTTCATTCCAAAATGGCAAATTTTTTCTTTTTGCCAACAAAAGGATTATACAAAGGTAGGTTACTCACCGAAATTTCGACTTCCAAAGAGCTTTCCAACCCTATGAAGTTCTTGTCTAATTAATAAAGAAGCCTGACATTCGAGAGCTGGGGGCCGCCATCTTTTTTTTGAAGCTGCACAAGAAGCCATATATGGCCACAAAAAAACACAATCCAAAACGAAGAAAAAAGAAATGTTGAGTGATTTAATCTGTCTGCCAAACTCGGGTAGCCTGTTCACAGATCCTCTATTTTCACTTCAAAGCCCATCGAGAGTGTGTGATAAAAAAAAAAAATGGGGGGATATATTGACCACCAGCGCAAGAGGGTGGGGGTGGGGAAGATGAAAAGAAAAATAGAACAACATCTGTGTACACTGGCTAAACTCAGGTTGAGTGCATCGATGTCAAGCACTTGTCACCAGGCTGCTAGGAGTTCTCCAAGATGGCAGCCCCCAGATCTTGAATTACAGGCTACTTTAGATGATAATTTCATCGGGTTGGAAAGCCCTTTGGAAGTTGAAATTTTGGTGAGTAACTTATATACCTTTGTATAATCTCTCTGTCAGCGAAAAGGAAAAACAGTACCATTTTGGAATGAACTTCTCCTTTTTTATGCTATAACTTGTTTGTTTGGAGAAAAGAAATAGATCTCAACTGGAAAGGCACCCTTTTCAGTGTCCCCATACCGATTGTGTGTAACTTAAACAAAATTTTTCTTTTAAATTTTGTTTCAGCTTGAAATGAGAAAGTCAGCCTTGTATGTGACAAATGGTGTTCTCCTGGCGACTGTATTCCTGTGTTGCCGAGTCCTTATCTACCCCTTCATGTATTGGTGTTACTCCAACTATGCCAATATTCCATTCCACAGTACTCCATTTAAAGTCCCAGTCTTTTGCAACACTTTCTGTTTGCTCCTGTTCAGCCTCCAAGTCTATTGGTTTCTCATGATTATGCGCGGTGTCTTAAGATTCTTTAGTCAGCAAACAAAGATACCTCAAAACACACCAATTGAAAAAGACCAACTAAATGGTGAAAATGGATTGTTTCACAAAAATCACTTTTGTCCTGTAATAAGCAACCATGTTGAAAAGACGAAGTAGTATTCGATCAGGGCAAAATGGATTAATTTTCGCAGTAATAAATTTATACTTGTCATTTTATTTAATAGAATATCCTTGAGTACCAAAACCAGCTCCTTAATTTTTGTGACTTTATCTTGTGACTACCACGGTTTTAAGTCACAACCTGGTTATGAAAAGGTTTTACCCATTCATGCATAATTTATTTGAAGGATTAATAAAGACGATGAGATACAACTTATTTATTTAATGGAAGGCAATTTAAAATTGAGATGTTCAAAATCATCATATCCAAAGCCAAAAAAAAATTTCCATACAGGTGTATATAATGGTACTTTTTGAGCATTATAGATTGTTTATGGTAAAATTATACATTGTACCAATTCCTATGCATGGTACTATGCAAGTTACACTCCTATTTCACTGTATATGGGTGTAGCTTCCAAAAAGCAATAAGTTATTATTATACAATATACCCAGTCTTGTAAATAATTTTATCAGGAAAACAAAATGGACTATAAGCAATCACTTTCAATGAATTAACTATCTTTAGAGCTGGATCTTTAATAAGGGAGAATAAATTAATATATTATTCCAGGATCAAAGAACTGCAATGTGCAATGTATATAATTATACAGAAAATGATGCATGTCCAGGACGTTTTAAAATTTATTTATTGGCTAGTTTACATAAATTAAAAGCTTTTATGGTTTACGTGTAAGTTTCTAAATTATTAAGTTAACAGCCATTGATGGATAAAAATGTTTTAAGTGCTGTACCTTTTCTCAGCAACATTTACTGCTACTGGTATGTGTAAAAAATTACAACTTGAAAAATATTTACAAGTAATTATTATTTAAATGTTTTCATCATTGTCATGGACATTTGCATTATATTTTAGACAAGACAGGGTAATTAATATTAAATTATTATTCAAAATTACATCCTGTGTTATGATTTTTACAGTTACACTATCATGCACCAGCCATGATAAAAACATGTCGTAATCAAAATGATAATGAACTGCAGCGACTGTGCTTAATGTTTTGACTTTTAAGTTGCAAATATCTACCGTAATTATTGTTTGTTAGTGTTAATATATTAGCCTTGTTTTTACTCTGAGGATACCATCACTGTTTCACTTAGCTAAATAGAAGCTATTTTCCTGTTATTTTTCTTTACAAATCCTTGCGACCAACAAGGTCATTTATATAATTTGACATTTTTTTTCTTTAATTTAACTATAATGTGTTTTGTCATTGAACTACTACCTCAGAAAAGAAGGTAATATATTGCATAGTGTGTAGTTCCACAAAATATTCACACACACCCCCATGGAGGGTCATTCCGAAATTTCTGAGGGGGAAGGGTAGTCTTGTAAAGGCCAATATACAGCTGGATTTTTCAGAGGTATGAGGTAGTGTTGGGGGGGAGGGGAGGCGGGTTCGGTTGGATGTATTGGTGTTTTCTCAAACAACAAATATTAAGAATTACAGTGCACAACCAGGCTTCCATAATTATATTTTCCACACTCTATAAGAACCAGTCTTGTTTTGGAAAGTTATAATATTAAATGCAGTAATAAATTATTTATTGACATTTATAAAATAAAGTTTCATTTTAGATATTTATTTATGAAAAAGAATACTTATTTGGAATGGTGTTTTTTTGCAGGACCTGCGCTGTTCATTAATAGTTAAATTCCTTTTCCTACAAAATTATGTGTTTTTTGTTTCACCATTCATTACTTTGTTGCCACAGGAAAGCATGGCAGTTTCTTAACTTATTAACAGTAATCAATAAACTGTTGCTGATTTTAAAAAGTCAAACTTGTTGTTTCTCTTCCGTTTCCCTCAAAATATGATCGAAATGTTCATGGCTCTCTCAGTTTAAGCTCTGTGCCCTCATGACTGATAGTCACCTGTTATGTTGGCAGTTCTTTTCTTTACCACATATGGATTATTCACTTAATTACAGATTTTGGGCATCGACAACTTGAGCAAATCCTTTGAATGTGGTGGGGAGAATGAAGAAAAGGTGGCAGGGTTTTACAGAACCTGGTATCAATTGGGAGGAAAATGAGGGTAATTTTCCACTGGCTGAGTGTAACGAATTAAGTGGAAAATGCTTTTCTCACACACCGCTGGGAGCCTGGGTATAGGTCAGGTGACTACAAGCAGTGTGTGAGAAAGAAAACTTCGTGGGTGGCTTTTAACATCAAGATATCTATACCTACCTACCTGTAGTACCCACCTACTTATAAAATGACAGAATAGTGATTTCAGTTTTTATGGAAACTGTAACCACGGCGGGTTTGCTTAGAGTTAAAAAAAGTGTGAGGGAGTGGGTTCAGAGCCAGTTGAATTTCTCTTCCTGAAGGTGGCCCGGAAACTGCTCCCTAGAACTGCTAATAATATGGGAGATACAGTGTAAGAACTCGACATCAAGGAGAGCTACAATCAGCATGAGAAATAAAAAATAGACTCAAATATAATGTTGAAATGTTTTAATCTTAAAGTCACACAAAATCTTTACAACACAAAAATAATTAAAATATCTTAATAGTGCCTACCTATTACACAAAATTAAGTAACACTGACACAAAAAGTTCAGTTTTTCTTTTTAAATAACACTTGGTGTAAGTGACCATTCTAAATAATGAAGATGGTGGATAGAAACTAATCCATCAAGAACACAATTATGTAATTATGATATTTTGCTAATATTTTAAAGGGACAGTATTAAAAGCATTCTCCCAAACTTTTTGTAGCCTGTGTTGTTTGTATATTTCCCGATACATAAAACACAACTTCAAACAACAAGAAAAAGATATAAATTCATACTCAAATGTGTGAGTAAACCATAAACCTTAAGACCAAAATGCTGAATCTCATTTGTTGCCCCCTTTTATCTCCCAAAGAAGCAGCGGGGAGAAGTTCATAAAATATCAAGCAAATTTATCTTGTGTGATCATGTCCCTAATTATTGTGACCACCCTGTTTCACAGAGCAGTGATCTTATGGAAAAAAATTTGATGCAGATTACTTTAGTGGATTATAGGGTTAACCACAATTTTGAGTGCAGGTTTTCCCCAAATACACGTACATATACCACGGCCAACTTGAAAATCCAGAGGGTTTTTGTAGACTACTTTATTGGTACTTTATTTCACGGGTCTTTAATTTTATGTTTTTCACAACTGTGAAAAAATCATGACGGCCCACAAATAAAAATATCTGCAGAATTTAAACAAGCAAAATTTAATACCCACATAGAAAATTCAAATTACAGAAAAAAATGAATAACATTGAATAACTACAACTGGCTTTACATGATACGTGTCGACAAATTTGACATGTTATTAGCTGGTTTTACTGGTACGTTCCATTCCAAGACTGTGTCTTCCGTTGTGAAATAACAATATGCATGTTGCTTGTTTCATTTTATCTTGATATTTTAAAAAGTTCAGAAGATTGAAAACTAAAATCAAGTTGAGGACGCTTGAATTGCGAAATTTAATGTCCTTTTTTATATTTGCCTATTGAAATCGCAAAAATAAGTCCCCGCGAAATACTCTCTTGCCAAAATCGTGAAATTAAGTACCCCCAAATTAAGAACCAATAAGGTATTTTTACCCATCATCAGTCAAGAGACTTTACCAGTTTCCATGTCTGAGTATAAAGTGTTGTTTATCAACGGGGTTCTCATTGACATTTTGATTGATTGACATTTTTGATTTTGACATATTGGATTTTCAAGGAGTGCTAAATCTTGGTGATGCTGCTAGGGGGGACCCTAATATGAAAACAATGGGGAAGCTTGTCAGAAAATAACAATTAATTAAACCCCTAATAGAGACAATGGGTATGGTTCAGGCTTTCAGTGACCTCTAAATTAGAAGACCATCATCCAAAACAGTAAGGTGGCATTTGTTTTTTTTTTTAATTCAGATATTTTATATGCAGAACCTTAAGCAATAGCTTTATGGATAAAAATTCTGCTTTGTGTCCTCAACACCCTAAGAGAGACCAAAAATGTCTGCAATTTCCACTCTAGTGGTGGGAGACCACAAGCACCCCCAACGTCTGCATATGGGAGTCCATACACCCCCCCCCCTCATGACACTGTCCCTTTAAGATAGTAACCGAGTTACCTTCACAATCATGATCAACCAGTTTTTTAACATCATTTTTTGGGTTAAGTTTTTTCTAAAAAGCAAATCTTTTTTTCCAAACAAATTACAGCCTATACCCAACATTTAAATTTGCATAGAAAGTAAACCCAAAATCCTAAATCGGTTGTGGTATTTTTGTTTCTGATCAGTAGAGTTTTTAAAGCCTACAATAGATAACAACAGAGAAACTTGCAATGCAATAAATAAAATCCAATCCCAGTCTATCACAATTTACACAGACAAAACAGTGTGGGTAGAAAGACAGCAATGGCAACAGCAATTGGAATTAACATGCTAGATTCATCGTTAGCATATGGATTGATGGCTTTGGGGCCAGATAACTTGCGCTGTTTCTTTGGTTTATCTTCCTTTGATTCCTCCTCATCATCCTCATCCTCATTGTCTTCCCCTGGGCGTGGCAAGGGTGGCAACTTTGGAACATCTGTAAAAAAAGCCAAGTTCAAAATATTATCTTGTAGTGAAAGAATGAAGATTTGGCTGTTGGGACATGATTTTACAGCGAAATATTCTAATTCTTTATAATATTAATTATCACCAACAGTTCATTGAATGTTACAAAGAGCTTTCAGAAGCCATCTGTATCCTTTCATCAGAGACATTTGCTGTTATTCTTTACATGCTTCTTTTAATAAGGCTGCAAGGCTTTCATAAATTGGGGGAAGGTGGTGGCCCCGATCATGGTCCATTGCCAGTCGCCAAGTATTGACATTTATGGCCTTGTGGATCTTGTGTGAAAGAGAAGGTTTCAGGGGTAACTTTCAAGAAACTGTTGGTGATGAACAACAAATTATTAATTAATTATTAATTTCTGTATTTTCTAAACAGTCTTGTTATCCAAAGTGATACAAATAGCTGAAAAGGGATGCCACAAGTACACATAGTAATAATCATTTCTGACATTCTCTTTACATTTGGATGGCATTTTTCTTGGACTAGGTTTACAAAAGAGGACATTTTCCTGGATTCATGATCAATCCCGAACATTTTGGTACCAGATTTACTTTGCTGCTTACACACAGATGCATAAATTCCAAAGAAAAATGTCCTAATTTGGTTGTGTGTCTGGAGATTTTAAATCCAAAATATAAAGAACTTGTATATACCCAAATGAATGCTCTCAAATTAACTGATATGTGTAAATACCTGGGAATGAGAATATCGTTAAAGTAATATGTCTGGAAACTTTATGAATGTGGGAAAATAATGAAACTTACCCTCTAATGTTCCTTTCATAACCAAAACAGCATTGATTTTAGGATTATCATAATAGCCCTGAATTTCAAAATAAAAAAGACTGCTATAAGAAGAGCACACTGTGCAAATTACTGCAGACTTATAGATAATGTACAGTACCACGAACCTGACTTCTTGAAACCTCAGTTGTTCAAACCCCTGAGCAATTCCCCTCCCACCAAAAAAAAAAAAAAAAAAAGCTGTTGGAAATATTTATTTATTTATTTTATTTATTTATTTATTTATTTATTTAGTCACTCACAAAACCTTATACAACATGAATAAAAGTTGTTACTTAAATTATAAAATTAATGTGACAAGGAAGCCTAACGAAGCTTGAAGCTTATATTAATAGGCTTCCTTCAACTACATAGTGAACTAAATTCATGGCTGAGTGCAGAGTGAACAAGATCAGAAAATTAAGCGACAGATCGGCTGTCAGTGAGATAATTCTTTAAATTTTTTTAAAAAACAAATATCGAAGGAGAGCTAATTAGTGAAACAGGCAACGAATTCAAGATTTTAGGTCCTCGGTAAAGGATACTGAATTGCTTTATATTTGTTCAACAAAAATGAGGTCTATATATAATGTTGCAATCTATTCAAATGTTGAGGTCCTTTTAGGGGCTGGGCGGGGGGCATGTACGTCACTTGTCTGTTTTCAAAACCTGTTGTTTTGCATGTTGACGAGGAAGCTATGTCTCCTTTACCATCACAGTTTCACATCTTTGTGTCATTTGTTGCCAATTTGCTGTCTTATGTCAATGTTTCTGGGCCATGTCACTTGTCAGAATTTTACTTGACAAGTAATCGACTCCTGCCTTAACCAGGAGCCGATATAAGTAATCGCCTCCTGGCCTTAACCGTATCTCTACAGTAAAGGCAGGATAACCAGAGTAACACCAGTGGCAAAGGCCTAAAATTGGGTGGTTTTTACTTAATTAATATTACTAAACCCGGGTGTTGATTAGGTAGCAACTATTCCACTGGAAGTGGCAAAATTGCCTGCTGCCGGCTCACTTTTACTGGGTTGCACATTGCACTTTTAATACTATTTTAATTACCTCATATGCAAATCTTTCAACTACAAAATGAAAGTCTTTTTAATCTGTCAGGTCGTCATAACTATGCCTGGCAGCAAATAAGATTTTGTTGGACAAGGGAAAACTTAGTGAAGAAATAATCCAGTGACTGACTGTTATTTAAACCTCAGCTCTATATTTAACAAGACTGGAAAATTCTGGGGGGGGGGGGTTACTCCCTATGATGGCCTATAAGGGGAGGTTCCGCCTAAAAGGGGTACCTTTTTTAGGCTTTAGTTATATAAAATGGTAGGGGTTTCACTGATGTTGAAGCATATGAAAGGGCAGGGAAATTTGTCATTTTGGTCAGTAAAAAGGCCCAAATGGATTAACAGAAGAATGCTATGGCTGAGAAAAAGACAAGAAAAGTTCAGTTCCTTTAATTTGATGTCTGAATTGGAGAGGTTTCACTCAAAAAATAAATATTTTAATACAAAACTCCTGCTATAAAGTTTTTATAACCAGGAAAATGTAACAAAAATAAAACAAACTTACCTTTAAAAATTCAACATATACAGAACCGCCAAATGGTACTGTTTCTCCATCAATCAGTAATTGATTGTTGTTAACTCTAAAAGGAATGTACTCATCATGGCCAACTCCTCGACCCACTCTCTCATAAATGTCTAATCCTTTTATTACAGTGTGTTGATTTACAGCTACATCAAACACCTGCACACAAAAAAATAAATGTAATATATTCTCAGTTGATGAAGTACAGTGTAATCGATACAAGTAACTGCCACATTATAAAACCAAATGCGATGGGTAGAGTCATTTGCAGCATTTTGCATACCATAAACTTCCGAAAATAAGCCCCTCCAAATATAAGCCCCCCAAACCAGTAACACAAAAAACCCTCCATTAAATCACCCCTCCAAACATAAGCCCCTTGGGTGCTTGTACTTGCAAAATTGCCCTCAAATACAAAGTAAAACAAAGCAAAAGTGGTCAATTTACTTCCAAGTAAAAGGCTAGCCCAATCGATTTTGAAACGCAAATTTCCCTCCATAGATGAGCCCCTCCGAATATAAGCCCCTCCAAAAATAAGCCCCTTAAAAAGGGCCTTTGAAAAGTATAAGTCCCGGGCCTTATTTTCAGAATTTTACGGTATATAGCTATCACATTTCCCAGTTGCAACTTTTAATGTGTTTAAGCCTAAAAGTAATAAAAAAATTCCAACTGGTCAGAGCGACAGTTATATAATGCATTTTGTGCAAAATATACTAGAATTACCAGCCCACGTGAGATGGGCGAAAGTTAACCCTTAAACACAAAATGTATCTTATGGCTAACAACACACAGCTTAACACAGACTTTTCTTCACTAATTCTGTCAGGAGCAATAACAGTTTTGGTACAAGAAAACTGAGCATTGTCATCAAAGTGACATGTTTTTTATCACTTTTTTACACTACAATACAGTGAAACCTGTATTAAGTGGACACCGTATTAAGCGGACACCCTCTATTAAGCGGACAGTAGCCGAAGTCCCAAAATTTATTTCCCTTATTTACTTTAAATGAAACCTTTATTAAGCGGACACCTCCATTAAGAGTACGCGGACAACTAAAATGTACCTGAAATAGTGATTTCTATTGTTACCAACCTGTATTAAACGGACACTTGTAATCAATTATTACCTCGAACTTCCACCCAGAACTTTTTCGATTCTTACATCAAAAAACGTGACTTGACGAACTTATTTGATTAGTTTCACAGTACAGTATTGTTTCCTATTTTGTTTTGTTTGAATAGAGCTTGTTTCCCCCATCTGATTTCTTCAAATTTGAGTTGCAATCTATGTTTATGGTACTATGATCAATTGGTCCACTTCGATAAAGAAATTAATGCAAATGTATATCGTCAAAGTCTCTGGGAGTATTCTTAACTTTTTTACTATTCATTTGAATGGCATTTGACGTCTCTTATGATGTTATCTATCGAAACATGTATTAGGCGGACACCCTGTATTAAGCGGACACTACAGGGGTGTCCACTTAATACAGGTTTCACTGTATAAAACTTTAAATAGTTGACAGCAACATGTGTCATCTGCTTTACTTACTTCTGCAGATAACTAAAGGGGTGCATTAAAAAAGCAAAAACAAAAACATTTAACCAAATAATTTGCAAGGATTCATTTATAAAATTCTAAGGCCAACACCCAATTGGTATAAACCCTTTTAAAGGCTTTGATCTCTTTAGTGCTCAAATATGGAAAAGAAAAGGGAAGCAAAAAGTTCTGTGTTTACAATGGCGCTTCTGGGCCAACTAAAACAGGAGACAGGTGTCTTTGTGAGGTTGCACACAACGTTTTCGCCACTTTTTTTCTATTTTTCCTTTTTAAAATTACCAGATAGTCTGATGGAAAAACTTAATTTAAGTAGAACATTAACCGAATGTAGTTCAATAAATAAATACCGGCCTCGTATACGGCTAAGGTTCTATCAGTCACACTTTCGCGTACAAAATAAAGGCATTGTACAGCTGTAAAAAACCTTAATGACAAGTCCTATTAATCATATCGACAACCCTGCTGACAAAGTTCCTTTCTTTTCACAGCAATATGATTATCGATTGCTTTGAATCACCGATGAAACATGTGGCGGGCACATTAACAAACAAAGTACACAAACTTGCACGCTTAAACCGTGACTCGAATTCATTCCAACATGTATATTTCATGTACATTGTTCATTATTATTCTTCTACCAGTAAAACACTTGAAGAACAACACATTCACAAAAACAAAAACAATTTCTACAAAAGGCGTCTTAAAATCAGTTTAAACAAAGAGCTAGTAACAGCTAGTTTGAATCCCGAACGGTATAAACATCGATTAAATTCATACACGTGGATCGAACTTGCTTATCTAGCTTACCTTTAGCCTTGGAGCTTGAAAATAAACTTCACAGAACTTCAAAA